GTAAAGTGGAACTTTGTCAGCTGATTTAGCTCTTGCGAGCATCAATCTAAGTAATCTAAGTGTGTCTCGCCACAGAGTCCACTGAGGGCTGTGGTGTGATTTTCACCGAGGGGCGCAGCATGTGCACAGACCCAATGGTTTTGGTGGACTTTCACTGATTTCCTAGTCCTGTTCACCTGAACTTCACCTGGATCTCCACTGGTTCGTTCCGTGTTGCTTGAGATTGCTGATTGAACGCCGCAGGGCTTACTGAGATCGATTGCCGCAAGGCCCACTGAATTTCTTGCGCATGTGCGAGCCATTAGACGAAACGGACTCTGACGTGTCTAACGACTTCCGGAGATGTTGCTCGAGGCTTTTAGGTTTCAGGTGAAGATTTGCTCGAGGCTTTTAACTTTCAGGTGCAGCTTTAGTCAAGGGAACGCCACTTACGGCAGTGCCTCCACCCCCCCTTCCCCCCTTGCACGAGAATTCACACTTCTTATCCCACCCTCTAATTAGGGCAACAGAAGGAAATCGCACTCAACACACTTGTGTGTTGGTGCCTTCCTTCCGTTTCTCCTGTCCTAGTCTTTCCTACCCGGCGGTCTAAGACTAAAGTCCCGCTCACTAACTAGTGCACCCAATTCATTCGGCTAAGTAGTCAGTAACTAGAAGGTTTCATAACTAGTGGGCCTCGTAACTACTCCTATCTTTCTCTCTTGCCCTCTTCGTTTGCTCTTTCTGTCTTCTCCCTTTCTTTCTTTCTTTCTAAGGCTTGTTCGGTGACTAGTACGTCTCTTGAGCGCCGATATCGGCTCTCTGTGTGTCACCACCTGCTTCTAAGGCTTCCATACGTTGCCTTTTTTCTGTTTTTCGCTTCGGGTTAAAAAGAGGCAGGGGGCACCTGAAGCAGAGATAGGGCAGGTGCCAACGAAGACACCTATCTCTTGCTTGTGATATCGACGGGAGACGTCCTGTCGTACCTGCATTTGTAAAGGGCTACTGAGCGATGTTAAACAATTCTGTTCTCCGGACTTCTTCACCTTTCCGTTCCCTCAGCCAAGGTCTGACTGCGTGCAAAGGTCTAATTGCAGTAAAGTGGAACTTTGTCAGCTGATTTAGCTCTTGCGAGCATCAATCCAAGTGTATATATAATATGTGTTGTTAATTCGTATGATCTTGTATCTATTTGTAAGGCCTAGCATGTAAAACCATCTCAAATGTTCTCCAAATGCGTTTCCCACCTCCCCGGCCCAGGTGGAAGGCGATAGGTTTCCTTCCTGCCGCTTGCCTCCCGATGACTCGTTTCCGGGTTATTTTAATAAGGCTCCACAGAATGCTATTCAATTTGGG